GTCTTAAGAGCATCTACAATGCTTTGGGTCTCTTTTTACATATGTAGCAAATAAATAGACTTAAGTCCATAATGACATGGACAAATCCAAGCTAAAAAATCCAAAATTTATCCAATGCAAAACAAAAAAGTAATAGGTCTAGAATACTAAACAACCAATAAAAATATAATAATAATAAATGCATACAAAAAAAATGTGTTTTGCCTATTAAAAAGAAAAAAGAAAATTGTGAATAATTAATGACTAGGTGGGTTTGCACTTGGGTCCAAAATAGACCCAAGTGTGTATTTAGTCTCTTTTTTCTAGTACCACATAAGTTAGACTAGGTCCACTTTTAATTACATTGTGAAACATTTTTTTTATAGACTATGTCTATTTCCTACATGGCATGTAATTTTTTTGTAAGAGACACAAAACATTGTGGGTGCTCTAATAGACCGAAGACCGACGTTCATGTAAAACTGAGGTTAAGCCGGCACATTAAAGACAGATAGGACGCATGTCAATCGAACCCCATACCTTCATCATTATTTGTGGTGCCACCTGCATGGTAGACCGTTAAATAACATTTGATTCCGCCAAACCAGCCTCGGAGAGCGAGCCTGCGATTACTACGAATGGTATTATTTATTTTTGTACGAGGATATTTTTTGACACATTAAATTCACATATAAAACAGCTCAGTTCCACAAATAACCGACCTCATGTACTTGAATCCGACTTAATGATAATAAAAAGTCCCTCGTCTGAATGCTCGACAAGCGGTCAAACCTAAAACCTGAAACCACCATAACCGAAAAAACACAAAAACAAAAGAAAATAGAAAGAAAAAAAAAGGAAAACACCAAACACACCACACAACAATTAAAACACGAAACACGACTAGGTGGACGGAAAATCCCTAAGCAAAACACCAACAAAAATGGGACAAACATCTGCCTCCCCTCCTTCATAGTTAGTCACTTCAGCCTTGCTGTGCGCGGACGCCCCCTCCCATTTCGTGTATACAAGATCTTGACTGAGACTATTCGGAATTGTAAATGGCCAAGATGTGTCCATCTTGGGCTCCTCTCTTTTTTCGTCGATCGTCGATCAGGTGTTGCAATTGAGAGGATGGTGATGGCGACCCTTTCTCTTCCGATTGTTGTCGCGTATTCGGTCGCTTTAAAGGATAGACTGTATTTAAAGTTGTATGATATAGATAGCCTTTACTATATCGGAGTCGGAAGTTATTGAATCTGCTATTTTTGGGCTACGGTCGTGTTCATCTTTGTTGGTCCAACTTCGATTTGTTAGCTCAGATGGTGGCATTGGCGATGCTCGTTCGCAGACGGCGAGGGCTTTAGTTTATATTTAGTTTGGTTAGATATTTTGTCTCTCTATCTCTCTTTGCTTTTTTTGGTTGTTAATCTCCCCTTTAGAGTTTTTTATTAGTCTCTTTTTTTTTTT